CCCTCTTCAGAGTGCACGAATAAGAAGAGTGAGGAGGGCTTTCTTGCCTTCTTTGGTGGGTCCCAGTGTCTGTGCTGAACCTCAGCTCCCCCAGTAACACAAGCCTCTGCGGCTGGCCTCCCTCCCAGGAAAGTTCATTTCGCCCCTTGTTCCTCCCCCATCCTGTCTTCATGGCACCGAGTTATGTTAAGTCCTGTGTCCCTTGTAAAAGGAGGGGTCAGCACTCTTGGTTCTTCTCTGCCTCACGCTCAGCCTGAGACTCCGCCTACTGATTCTTTCAGCTCAGCCATCTCATGACACCTGATGGAGCCTGTCACCTCTTCAAACTCCAAACAAACTCGATCCAATACCAGTCCTCTGGCCAGATCACAAGCCCTCCAGTGGGCCTGGATTTCTCTCACCTTCTTCAAGCTCATCCTCTTTAGTAAAGGTCTCCTCCTCTTCCCTTCTACACTGACACAAAGCCCCCACTGCTAAATTACAACCACCTTCATAATCTCCTTCTTCTTGTTCCCAGGCAATGAAGACTAGTTAGAGAAGTTGTATAAATATGATCCAACCAGCTTAGGAGCAATTAACACATCTAACATCAGCTTGTCCTTTTCACTGAAGGTCTCAGCCCTCTGGCCTCTGAATCTCAAATTCAGTTTCGTGTTACAGCTTAAACTCTATTTACTCTTTTGACATCATTCTTATGTTCTGTGTAATCTCCTTATTTCCTCCTACAATTTAGTTTCTGCCCTATCAGCTCTGGAAACTGCCAACACAAAGACCCCTAGTATCTGTCTGTTACACTGAAGGACCTTTCCCAGTGGCAAGCATCCTAACACAAGGTCTTCTTCCCAGCCCTCTCCTCTTTGGCTCCTGAGTCTATAAAACAGGAACTCTCTACCTTTTCTCACCCTCAAGCTGCACCCTGTCCTCCACAGTCCCACCTCTCAAACGATGACCTCTAACCTAAGGAGAGCTTTCCCTCCTTCTGAAAGTTAAGTGGTACATCTAGCATTTGACTACAGAAAAAAAAAAAAAAAAAAAAAAACACCCACAGATTTCTCGCTCTGAAAAAATACCTCTTGTCTTGACTCAGGATCCCACTCTTTAAGAACCCTTGGTAAGTACCATGGAGTCGGTTCCGACTCATAGTGACCCTGCACAGGGTTTCTGAGGCTGTAAATCTTTACAGGAGCAGAATGCCTCATTTTTCTCTCACGGAATCACTGGTAGTTTTGAACTGCTTACCTTGAGGTTGGCAACCCGACTAGTAATCACTATGCTACCAGAGCTCCTTGTTGTTGTTGTCAGGTGCCATCGAGTCGGAACTGACTCATAGTGAACCCATGCACAGCAGAACGAAACAATGTCCGATCCTGGGCCAACCTCACTACCGCTGCCACACTTGACGCCTTAGAGATCATCAAATCTGAGCCACAGTAGTTCACAGACAAGGACCCCCTCCAGTGGGAATTTCAAGGGCTGCCAAGGTCACTGCCACTCAGCAGACATTAGTGCTCTTTCTATGACACCACTTCCTACTGAGTGCTGGGCTGGCTCCAAAGTCCAAGTCTGGGTCACAGAAGGCAACTTCTGTAGTGTATCCTGCCTTATGAGCATCCTCCTTGATTCAAAAAGGGGTCATTTCGGGCAGTATCAGGAGAAGGTGAGGAAACTCTGCTATACTTTCACCTGACTTCCTATTCAGGAAACCCCCAGACCACCAGAGGCACTGACAACTCAAAGGGAGGGGTAAACTGAGGCAACTGGCTATCGGCCATCCCGTTATAAAGTTCAACTTGCAAGCCCTGGGTGACAGACATAACACCGATGTGCTTCCGTTGTTGGTACTTCAAGAGAGACCCTGCTATGCACACTGAAATGGCTTAAGCAATGTGCTGCACAGGCCTGTGGGAAGAGGGGTGCTCACCCACTGCTCCTCCATGCCCCATAGAATGCCTGCACTCCAATTTTTCCAACCAGAACACCAACGCCTTGGAGAACACCATCTCTGAGGTTTCCCCTGCCCCCAAATCTAAGGCTTGGAAGTTCTGGGTTACCTGGGGAGTAGCCTGGAGGTAGATGAAGCCATGTAATCTGAGTCGACTGGCAAATTCTTGGAGGAGAAAAGTATGCCAGTACTGATAGATATGCCACTCAACGTCACTGAGGGAACCATTTTCAAAAAGATTCTTTGCAAAGATATACCTGGTTGGAAATGTAAACGGGATGGGAGGGAGGGAGGAAAATGAGGACCGGGATGAAAAGCAAAAGAGAGAAGCAAAAAACTCAATAACCAACTTGTTCCATGTCTGTTCAAACCACTTACCCTCCCTAGCTCCTCAGCAATCCTTGAGAAGCTGGAATTCTTAACCCACATCCCTCCTCCATCCTCAAAACAAATATGGGAAATAGCATTCAGACTTGAGAGGTCTAATTCCCAGTACCCCAGGTGGATTAATGAACTGGAAGAAAAGCAACAATGGGAGAGAGTATCATTGATCCTTAACAACTGTGCCTGCTGGAAACCAGTCAGAACACACAGTGAGCAGTGCATGGAAACTTGAACTTTTGAGACAACATTAACATTGTTACAATAACCGCCACCCCACCCAAAAATAAAACAAAACAAAAAACCAAGTGAATCCACTAAAAACAATAACAACAACAACAAAACACCACCACATTTCACTTCATGGGGCTGTTGAGTCTTCTGGCTCTGAACCAGCTTTCTGTCTTGTTGAGAAGTGGAAGAGGGACAGTAGTTAGTGGTGTAACCTATGGGGCTAGAACAGCCACAGTGTTGCTGAGAAAGGAGGTTCTCCTCTGAAGCACATTGCTCTTACTTGCTTGTTTCCTCTGCTGTTGAGCTTCTAATTCACATAAAAGAGGGCTAATGCTAAAAATCAAACTAGCTTTGCCCTTGCTCACTTCTACAACCAAAGGAGCAAATGGAAAAGAGGAAATCGGGACTGAACAGAAACCATCACTCCAGAAGGGGTCAATTCAGTTTACAAATCTCAGGCATCTTGACACTAAACACAATCTATATCCTAAACATTAAATCCCAGTTTCTAAGCCACCTCTAGGAAAACACATTTCAGAACCCGATCTACAACTGTCTCAGGGACATGTACACTGCAAAGCTACAAAGTCAAGGTCGTGAATGTCATGCTTAAGAGAACCAGCTCCAGAGTCACATTCCTAGGTTTAATCCTGACTCCATCACTCACTAGCTGGGTCACCGTGGACAAGTCACCTACACTCTCTCAGCCTACTTCTTCCTCTGTAAAAAGAAATACCAATGGAATATGATTCACGGAGTTGCTTTGATGATTGTATGTAATACTCTAAAACTTAAAACAGTAACTGGCACATAGTGTTCAATACATCTCAATTATCATCGTAACAGCTTTTTGCTGGGCCATGAAGATACTAATCTGGGCGACCCATAAGTAAACTCTTCTTAGTCTGGAGTGGTTTAGCTATAGTTTGGCTGAAGGCACCAAAGAAAAGATGTGATTTTTGTAACTCAGGTTCTGAAAAATGTTTTCAGCTTCTTCAGACGTAACTAAACCAAAATCTGCTGACATCCAGTTGATTCTAACCCACAGGTTTCTGAGGCTGTGAGGGAAACATGAGGCTTTATGCTCCTGTAAGAATTTATAGCCTTGGAAACCCTATCCAGGGTTGTTAGGAATCAGAATCAACTTAACAACAACAACAGTCTTCATGCATCATTTTTCTCCTGCGAAGCAGCTGGTGGGTTAGAACCACCAACCTTTTGCTTAGCAGTCTAACGCCTAACTCACTGCAGGGGCAAGTCAGGGTTCCTTCACAAGTAAGATGACAATGAAAATAAGATCTTCAGTGGTAATGACCTCAAGGTCAGCAGTTTGAAACTATCAGTCGTTCCATGGGAGAAAGATGATTTACAGCCTTGGAAACCCTGTACAGGGTTGCTGTGAGACGGAACTGACTCCACAACACACTACTACCACCACCAAAGAGAAGTTAGGTAAGTACTTGGCAATAAGCTCAATGAAAGGAACTCCCGCATTTCTTGAGACTGAGCAGTTCTTCATTTCTTCAAAGCTGGAGGTAGTGAGGAAAGAAGGAGTGGGGGAATGCCCTGTACTAGGACCGCTGTGTCTGAAAGCAGGGGCTGCAGCAAGGAGCAGTGCTTAGAGAGCTGCGAGTTGGAGCCCCTGCCCTGAAGTCCAGTATGTTCTTTCATTCAAACAGAACAGACTTAGAGTTCTTCCTCCCTATAATCTATTCACCAAATGATGATCTTCCTCCTCTGCTCAGTGCTTCCTTAAGTTGTCTGTGAAGGCAGAAAGTGGGTCTGCAAGGTACCCCAACACAGCACGCATCCCATACTGCTGTGTGGGGAATGAGTTAATAAAAGAATGAATGTATTCTAAAAGGAATAGAAAAGAGTCTAAATTACCAGCAGGATGATTAAAAATTTCTAGTTACCTGTTTTGTCCCCAAAACATCCCCTCTGAAAAAAACAGTTAAGATACTCTATTTGTCCACAGTGCAATCCAGTTTTTACTCTTCTAAGTTAATGTTAAAATCCATTGACTTCTTAACAAAAGTATCTCTACTTAGCAGAGTATTTCTAGTTCTATGTTTTCTTTGGAGGGTCTCTCACCTGCCTACTCAACTAAAGGACTGGAAATCAAAAGGCTGACTTTGAATATGAGTATGTTTCTAAACAACCCCAGGTGGTTCACCTTCCGAGCCTGAGAGGTGAGGCTTAGGAGGAGAGAGGGAGATAGGCGGTAGGTTAAATCATTTTAAAAGAACCAGAACTTACAGCCTAACCATTTGTAACTTTCACATTTGACTTATTAAAAAGTAGGCTCTCATGATGTGAAGAGATGGAGTGGCTGGGAACTCTAGACCCAGAGAGGGAGAGGGGCTGAGTGCTGATGACCAGGGGGCAGGCTTGTGGGGTGTACTATTTAGTTGGTTGATGATACATGAAGGGGATTGTAACCATGGAAATGTAATGATATACAATAGGATGAATGTAAAGCTAATGTTCTCCCATGTAAACGATCACATAATTCATAATAAAACATTTTAAAAAAAAGTAGGCTCTCAAGGTACACATAAAAGTCATGTGTAGCCTATAAGGTTTGTTTTGCATATTGTGTGTATTATCACATAAAGTCAGAAAAACTATACACACAAAAAGTTTAAAGTGACTTTTATTTTTCCCACCAGGGGCTTTATGAGAGCACTAAGAAGTAGAACCCATTTGTCTAATTTGGAATTAAATGGACAAATAAAATGCAGTATTTTCCATTTTGATAACTTCAAAGAGGCCATGATGTTTAAAAACACCACTTCATGTGGACACAGGTCATTCATGGCCTTCAGATATGGCCTGATATTTACAGTGTGGGTGCAGAGCTCTTCAGGAAGAAAACAAGGCTGGCTCCCAGAACTGTAGCAAATTCACTTTACTCAGCATTCATACCTCCCTCCCCCAGGGGGGTCAAGATGACACCTTCCACTGACTAACACCAGCACAAGCCAGTAACAACCCTGTCACAGGAGAAGTCAAAAGAGACAGAAGCCAATTTCACAGATGTGCTATTTCCACTAGAAATCCTTTTCTGAAGAACAAGAAAGAATATACCAATCTACCATGTTGTTGTTATTAAGTGCCATCGAGTCAGTTTCAACTCAGAGTGACTTTGCATAGGGTTTCCAAGGAGCGGCCAGTGAGTTTGAACCTCCAACCTTGTGGTTCAAGCCAACCTTTCTGTTTAGGTCTTATCCTACAGCGCCACACAGGACTCCATGTTAGGAACACAAATTTCAAATTCCATCTTTTTCAAGGTACAAGCCATCTGATTCATCTGGCTTCCCAGAACACATACTGAAATGTTTACTCTGTTGTTTAGCATGTAACGGGATAGCTACCAGGTTGCCTCTATGCTAGAACAGAACAAGAGAACACAATGTGATCAGTGGCAATGTGGTAAATTAAACTTTCAGTTTATGAAAAACAGAATTTCTTTTCTTGACAGAGTCTGTACCTCCTTGGAATCCTGAGTCTGGACACATCGACACAGCATTACCTTTAAAGAGAATATGGGTTTTGGAGGTGTGGGATCTGAGCATAAAGGAGTAAAAGTACAGAGTTGTTATCTTACCTGTCACTGTACACGGACCTCTCAAAGACTTGAACCTGCTCCTTGGCCTGTAAGGGCTTCTCAAAGAAGGGTTCCAGCTGGACTTTCAGGCGGCTCATAAAGGAAAATGTCTGGAATGTGTAGGACCATCGTGCAGGATCCCCATACATCATATCCAGCAAGTTGCCAAGATTTTGGGTAGTACATCCCTAGAGGGAGATTGCAAAAGAACATCTCCTAGAAGGAATATCTATTCCATAGCTCACAAGCCCCTAACCCTTGCAGGTTTAATAATCAATGAGGAAAGCAATCTGTGAAGTTTCTTCCCACTAAAAAGGTACAATCTCATGCCCAGGATCAGTCGAAGCTATGTAATCAACAGATTTTTCTACCTTATTAGACATGAATCTGATAGAGGGTGATGACATACCACCTTCAACACAGCAGAGAAAGAGCAGGAGAATTACGCATGGAATGAACACATTCAATCACTGATTTTTCTGGTGGGTCTTGCGGCGAGGGGTTAACAATCAACAAACCATCTAAAATGATCCTTGGAATTGAATCTTTCCACTGTAAGACTATGTTGCCTCTCTTGTGAGCTTCAATCGGTGGCCGCTTCTTTCTCAAACTTCAACACAGACAAGAAAGCAACTGCTTATTTGAAAATCCAACCAATCAACCAAAGAAATACGATTCTGTAGCTTTCATAGAAGGACTACAATTTGTTTATTAAAAAATAATAGGGAAAGAAAGAACCCCACCTCCTCCATTCTAGAGGCTTTCTGAAATGCATCCAAGGACCCACTTATGGAGCATATGCAGGTCAGGGCGTGTGTGGGACACTCAGGAGCCCTGAGTTCCAGCAGAGCTCTGCAATGACTCAATACAAAAGTGGAAGTATCACTTTCACACACTAAATTGCCATTAATTGAAGGTCTGTGGTGGATTAGGTGCTACATGGGCTAAGTGCTATAAGAAATACAGAAAACAGAACCAATGTTTCAGTGTTCACTGTGCTATCTTGTTTGAGCTTCAGAAGAGTTTCATGAGGTAAGTACTATCACTATGCTGATTTTCTAAAGGGCAAATCCATTCAGAGAGGTGAAGAAACTTACTTGTCCAAGGTCTCATGGTGAGTGTTGAGTAACAGCTCAAACTAAGCTTCCACTCTTAACCTCTTCATTCTAATGCCTCTTCAAGTAAAAGTGAACAAGACATGGCTCCTGATCTCACATAGTGAATAATGCAAAAGGGAAGGGGTATAAAGGATAGAAGAAGCTAACATAAGGTAGAATTTTTGACAAAGCGGCAATCATATATGGTTGGAGGAATCTCTGGAAGTCTCTGGAAAAAGATGGCATTCAACTGGGAATTAAGTGATGAGTGGAATTTCCACAGATGGAAATGGGAATTAAAAAGAACATTTTCAGGGGGAGACAAAGATTGTTGCTGTTGTTGTTAAGTGCCCTCGAGTCACTTCCGACCCATAGCAACTCTGTACAGGGTTTCCAAGGAGCAGCTGATGAGTTTGAACTGCTGACCTTGTGCTAACAGTCCAGTGCTGATCCTACAGCACCATACCCAAGAGACAAAGATAAAAGATACAGGAGGGAAAAAAATGAAAAGACAACAAGCAGCCTGTTTGGTTAAATGAGCATTCCTATATTTCAAAGAAAGGTACTAGCCAATATAGCTGAAGCTTTGAGAGGCATCAGCAGATGCAATGCAGGTAAAAGCAGAGTGAATCAGAAAACCACTTAACATCCATGGAAGGGAAGCTTGCTCGCCCCATGAATCTGTTCAAGATTTCCCTCATTCTGTTCTCTTCACCCAGTCTCAACAATGGCATGCAGCTAAGAGCTGGAGTTAGATGTTGTGTGCGTGTGTTATGTGCATGCACAAATTTAAATCTATTTGAGTTTTAGATGTTGTCAGTGGAGCAGCCCTAGGTCTACAGCATAGTTCACAGACTGTGTGGACATTGATCAGATGGACAGGGCACTTGTGGTAGGTTAGGCGGATAGAGGTTTATTTTACAGTGAGCTTTGGACTACTTAAGGGAGGTTGTTCACGAACAAAAAACTGTACAGAAGCCTACACAATTTGTGAAAGAATTCATCTCAGCTATAGAAAAAATGCAAATATCCCTCCAACTGTATAAGCAAACAGAGGGAATGTTGCTAAATATAAAATACCCAAGAGTTCAAAAGAAGAGGACCAATCTATGTGCTCAGGACAAGCAACCTCCTGGGATATGGAGTTTTGACAGAAACAGGAGAAAACTCAGTGAGTTTCAAGAGATTAATAAAACAAGTCACACTGATAAAACAAGAATTTGTTGTTGTTGTAAGTGCCATTGAATCAGTTTCAACTCATAGCGACCCTATATAGGATTTCCAAGGAGCAGCTGACAACCTTGCGGTTAGCAGTCTGTGTTTATTCTGCAGTGAAAACAACAATAGGCAGTCAAAAAAAGGGGCCTATATGAAAACCTCCAGCATTCTTAGAGGTGGAAAATGTAGCTGCCAAAATAAAACACCTAGTGAAGATGTTCATGAGCAGACTGCATACTGCAGGAAGAATCCCTGGGTGGTGAAAATGGCTACTACACTTGCCTAGTAACCCAAAGGCTGGCAGTTAGAAGCCATCTAGAACGGCCTTGGAAGAAAGGCCCCATGATCTACTTCTGAAAAATCAGTCCTTGGAAGACCTGTGGGGCACACTGCTACTCTGACACACATGAGGTCACCATTCATCCACTCTTGCAGTAACTGGATTTTAAATTTTTTCTTTTTCTTGTAGTCCGTTGCCCTTGAGTCAATTCTGACTTGTGGTGATCCCAGGTGTGTGCAGAGGAGAACTACTCCACTGTGGTAAACCTAACTAATGAGTTAGAAAATCCCTCGAGAATATTTACTCGAGAAAGTCTCCCTAAACTAAGAGGCGGGAAAAGAGGAAATTATGAGAGAAATGCACAGACATGCAGGCTCGAAGGAGGAGCTGTAATCAGTATGCACTGTAACAAGCCCACTGCCCTGGAGTCGATTCTGGTTCATAGTGACCCTATTTAGGGTTTCTGTGAGTGTAAATCATAATGGGAATTGTTGTTAAGTGCAGTTGAGTCATTTTAGACTCATAGTGACCCTGTATAGGGTTTCTGAGGCTTTTTAAATCTTTGCTGACACAGACAAATGCAACTTTCTGCCATGGAGCAACTACTGGGCTTGGACCGCTGACCTTGTGGTGTCAGTTTTGACCCTGTACGGGTTTCCGAGGAATGGCTGGTGAGCTTGAACTGCCGACCTTGCAGTCCAGTGCATTAACCACAGCACCACCCAGGGAGTAGACAGCCTCATCTCTCTCACGTGGAGCGGCTGTGTCACCCGTGCTTCAGTTCACAGAAATTAACACAATTTTGTATCCACTTTTCAAACAGGGACACGAATCATTTCCTGCAACTTTAAAGTTTCCTGGCTCAGACAAAAACTGCCTAATCAAGGAAACGGTTTTCCTCCTTCACCAGCTAAGAGTGAAATACAGAGAGGGAAAATGTCACCACCACCCAAAACGGAGATGTGCACAGGAAAACTCCTACCCAAAAAGAGTATTGCTCAAATCTCACCACCCTCATTGAAAACCACTGTACTTGTAAGAATATGTGGTATCTCTAGTTATCTGGAGGACAGAAAATAGTTTTAAACCATTGTACAGCAGAAGCTCTAGTCAGATGGAACTGATTATATAGAAAATAAGCTAAAATCATAGGAAAATCTCTCAGATGTGAGACATTTCATTAGAGAAACAGAATTACCAGAGAGCAATTTAGGTACATTTACACATAAAGCAGTTCACACACAGTTCATTCATACAAATAGACAAACAAAACACTCTAGTAGGAGGAAAAGCAAATGATAAAAAAAAAAAAAGGATTCGAACCACATAACCCTTTTGTACAACAGACACTTGTACAAAAGAAAAACAAGTAATCGCTCTGGAATTATACCACCCACATGCTCTTTCTGAAAACATTTTCTCTGTAACGTATTTTAGCCACCTGAAAACAGAATCAAATTAAGAATGAAGATGTTAGAAGAGTGTGATAATGAGAAAACAGTGATTAGTGATCAACCAGTAGAACAAAGTATAGAGTAAACATTGTTAATGTGGTTAGGAAGCATATGAGAATTCTTGCTATCAGACAAGTTTCATAACGTAAAATTCTTCAGAATCTAAAATCTCAAAGATTCCTTCAGTCCATCTGATGGGTAGGGTCTAGGATGAGAGAGAGCAGTGACAGCAATCCTGGTACTGTTTTCTTTCCCAGAGATTCCATCAATGATTGCTGCTGCTGTTGTTAAGTGCTGGGGAGTCGTTTCCAACCTACAGTGACCCTGTACAGGGTTTCCAAGGAGTGGCTGGTGAGCTTGAACCACTGACCTAAACGACTCTGCAGTCCAGCGCATTAGCCCACTGCGATTAGAAACAGACAAAACAGTTGCCACTCAACTGCCTTGTGGAGACCCAAGACCTTGTGGGTACTGAGACAGAACAGCTACTCCATAGGGGTTTCAGTGGCTGACTCTGAGGTACCTTTATACTGAGGCAACTCTAAGTGTACCTGAAGTTCCAATCTACCAGTTAGCAGTTGAATGCCTTAATCATTTGCATCACCCAGGGACTCCCATTAACAATCATAAAAAAATAAAAGAAAATCCATTGCCATTGAGTTGACTTTGATTCATAGCCACCATATATAGGGTTTCCTAGACTGTAAATCTTTATAGGAACAGACAGCCTCTGTTTTCTCCAGTGAAGCAGTTGGTGGGTTTGAACTGCTGACCTTGAAGTTAGCAGTCTAATGCTTATCTCACAGTGCCACCAGAGCTCAGAGCTCCTTATTAGCATATTTACTTTTTTCATTTAAATGTTGACAATGGTAGAATAAAAATAGAGTATAACTTCAGAAGATAAAAATGGATGAAAACTTGTAAATACAGCAAAAGGAAAAAAAAAGGAAATTAAAATAAAGAGAAAGCACAAGTTAAAGTAGCAGGAAGAAATTAAACATAATAAAGGAGTAAAATTCCCATGAAAAGGAACCCCTCAGATTGGATGAGAAACAAAAATCCTGTTCATAAAGCAATACCCAAAACAAAATGGCAACTGGTTGAAAACAAAAGAAAATCAAAATCAACTAGGCAATCGG